TTCCTGTGTCAGTCTGACTGTGTGCCAATCTTGCGTGTTTGGCTACGCATGTTTGGCTGTGTGTGTTTTTGGCTATGTGTGTGTTTGGCTATGTGTGTGTTTGGCTATGTGTGTTTGGCTATGTGTGTGTTTGGCTATGTGTGTGTTTGGCTATGTGTGTGTGTCCCTATGTGTGTGTTTGGCTTTTTGTGTGTTTGGCTATTTGTGTGTGTTTCCCTAGGTGTGTGTTTGGCTATGTGTGTGTTTGGCTATTTGTGTGTGTCCCTATGTGTGTGTTTGGCTATGTGTGTGTTTGGCTATGTGTGTGTGTCCCTAAGTGTGTGTTTGGCTATTTGTGTGTTTGGCTATGTGTGTGTTTCCCTAAGTGTGTGTTTGGCTATTTGTGTGTTTCCTTAAGTGTGTGTTCGACTACGTGCATGTTACCAGTGTGTGTGCTGGCCAGTGCGAGGGCCTCTCAGAGCGGAGACTTACATCAGTAATGAGGGTTTGTCCTTCCTTCCGGATCTCCGAGCAGCGTTCCTTGTGCACTTGGAAGTCTGACTCAAACGCCTCGTGCTTCTTCTGTAGACCCTGCAAACAGACAATGCAACACACATTGTACCACACTACACACATAACTACACACATTGCACCACAACGCAACACATATAGCTACACGCACTGTACCACACAACACACATAGCTACACACACTGTACCACACTACACACATAGCTACACACACTGTACCACACTACACACACAGCTACACACACTGTACCACACTACACACATAGCTACACGCACTGTACCACACAACACACATAGCTACACACACTGTACCACACTACACACATTGCACCTACACACATAGCTACACACACTGTACCACACAACACACATAGCTACACACACAGTACGACACTACACACATAGCTACACACACAGCTACACACACAGTACCACACTACACACATAGCTACACACATAGCTACACACACTGTACCACACTACACACACAGCTACACACACTGTACCACACTACACACATAGCTACACGCACTGTACCACACAACACACATAGCTACACACACTGTACCACACTACACACATTGCACCTACACACATAGCTACACACACTGTACCACACAACACACATAGCTACACACACAGTACGACACTACACACATAGCTACACACACAGCTACACACACAGTACCACACTACACACATAGCTACACACATAGCTACACACACTGTACCACACTACACACACAGCTACACACACCTGTACCACACAACACACATAGCTACACACACTGTACCACACAACACACATAGCTCACGGCGTCACTTTTCGCCCGATTCTGTTACTTTTAGTTAGCGTGACTCAGCAGCCCGGCTCGGGGTCACGGGGTTAATGAGCCCTGAAGCGACTTTGCCGCTGTTGGTCTGGAAGTTC